AGATGTAAGGAACTGGAGGAACATGTCCAAAGGACTGAAGAGAATCTCTATCTGGAAGAAAAAATAACCCAAGGAACAAAAGAATATTCCTCTCAACTGTAAAATTTAGAAAAGTGACCTTGATAAAACAAGACTGAAATGAAGGAGACTATCTGTGGTCACACACCTTGGAGGTCCTTCCATTTCAGGCCTCTACTTCTTTAAGTCCCACCCATCACACACACACTAAAAATGTAGGGTCAAGAAAGAACTCCACCCTAGGAAACCTGTGTCTCCCCTGCGGGAGGAAAAGCTGACCTGCCCTCAGTGAAGCATTCCCCTTTAGCCATAATGTCTCCTCCCTGTTGAAAGACGCTTGGAAATGCTCAGATGCTCAGGTGTTAATCCTGATGCTTCAGACAAGCACAGGAAGTTTGGGAATGTTAACATAAAGGTCAAAGATACAACAGCAACCAATTTAGTGCAAAGAAAAGTACTAACTGGGCAAATTCCTCGCTGACTAGAGAGCATTCCCAAACCCTCCATTAAAATAGAAAGTGATACGGGATTTGGAAACAAGTGGGACCCAGGCAACAAATTTCCAGGGTCCACTGCTGAATTCTAAATCCCTACAGTGAAAATGCAAGCAAGAAAATCCACCAGTGCTAAATGATCAGTCCCAAAGCTCAAACCAGAATGTGCACCTAAACTAACAACTAGAAGAGGTTGATTTTGTGGCATCTTTTCATTCATAAGGCACTTGTGTGTCATGAGGTCGACAACCTTTTGTGTTTATGGATGAGTGACTTCGTGTTGCCCAACTGTCTCCTTGGCCAATCCGAGAGAAAGTAACAGAAAAGCAATGAACGCCTGCAAGGCTAATGACGCAGCTGTGATGACATCAGCTATCACACGGTGATGGACTGATTTCTGCTTTCACCCCCCTCCAAAAAAAGATATGTTGAAGTCCTAACCCCTGGGACCTGTGAATGTGCCCTTATCAGTTACCATGGGGTCACACTGGCATAGGGCAGCTCCTAATCCAAGCTGACTGTTCTCATAAAGGAGGAGAGTCACAGAGAGACATGCAGGGGAAGGTGCATCTGCAGGCCAGGAACACCTGGGGCTCCCAGAAGACATGAGGGAGGATCTTCCCCCAGAGCCCTGGGAGCCGACATGGCCCGGCTGACACTGATGTGGACTTCTAGTCCCCAGAACTGTGAGACAGCAAATTTCTGTTCTCGTAAGCCACCCGCTTTGCAGCATTTTGTCATGGCGGCCCCAGGAAACTAAGACAACATGTAAAAGTCTGCTCCAATTTCCTGCCTCACTGAAGAACTGCTCTACAAAGTGAAATCATCACCATGTGACCCAGCAACTGCACTCCTGGGCATTTATCCCAGAGAAGTGAAAACTTCTGTCCCTGCATGTAAAAACCTACACATAAATGTTCATAGCAGTTTTATTTCTGACAGCTAAAAAGTGGAAACAACCCAAATGTCCTTCAACAAGTGAAAGACTAAACAGTGCTACAGCCACACCATGGGGTACTATTTGGTAATAAAAAGGAATGAGCTACTGACAGAAGCAACAACTTGGACGGATCTCCAGAAAATTATTCTGAGTGAAAAGCCAATCTCAAAAGGTCATATGTGTTATGGATTGAACTGTGTCCCCCAAAACTGTGC